AACCTAATGAGTGATATATAAAAAGAGGGAGATGAACCCTGCAATTACATTTATGTGAGTCTGTCACCTTATTTGTAAAACCTTAGAGTCATTTACATTCAAATTAGAACAAATGAGTGATTTCACAAAGTGCAGTGATAAATGACCACAGCAGCCCAAGACAAAACTGTATTTCCTGTGAACACATTAACAGTTTCCTATTATTTGTTAAAAATTACAAGGCATATTGCCCAGTGTGGTGTGAATAATGACTTTTTTACTGATTAGGTCAGAAAACTAATATGTAGCAAAATAAATAATTTTTCTTTTCATTTTTTTCTGATTTTTGCTTTAAATTAACTACTGAATTCTGGTGGATTCACACTGCCACCTGCTGCCTAGGAGTAGATACTAAAAGTATATTCCTATCAAAAGGAGTTAAGTCACCCCTTTGGTGGTCTTATTCAGAAAGTCTAGTGAGGGCTCTTTCTTGTCAATATATTTAAATTGCATTTCACAATAAAGGCCGATACTTGGCAAACAAAAAGAAAACTTGCTAATCAAATAATAGGATATAGCATTTATTTGGGGGAGAGAGTACAAAATGTACAAACTTTTTTTTTGAAAGTTAATTACAAAAAAAGACATTTTCAGCAAAGCATGTGTATCTCCTAATATATCACTTTCAGGGGATACAACACAAAGTCCAGTGGCCAGTATCCTGATCTTATGACAGGGGACAGTTTGGAAGGGTGGTGTGTGTGTGTGTGTGTGTGTGTGTCTGTGTGTCTGTGTGTCTGTGTGTGTGTGTGTCTGTGTGTGTGTTGCCTACTCCTGACCCTTGGTACAATCTGAAGGCAATGACTGAAGGCTCTGCTTGTCACTCAGGACCTCTACCACCTAGTCTTCCCTCCCAATGACAAGTTCCAACATGAAAGGAAGGCCTTAGGGTCCAGAACAGAGCAGACTAGGAAAGGCATAAGGACTGGTGATGAGGTTGGGGAAGAACAGGCCTGGCCTTGGAGAGTTTCTGCAGGTGAAATGATGCTGCCAAATGGTCATTAGGGGAGCTAATAGACATTTCCAAATCCGATCAACATCCTAGTTCTGAATTTAGGTTTCTCCACCTGTAAAAATAAAAGAACTCTCACCTGCCTTAAGGGGTTGCTTAGCAGAGGAGAAACGGGAATCTTTGTGCAAAACACTCAATACAGATAGGCTCTCAATAAATGCTGGTTCTCTTTCCTGGGAAAGATAATGATGGCTCTGGGGACTATGGTTTGGCATAGATAGAGGATAGAAACAAGCAGGCCCCTTAGGAGGAAATTATGAACTCTTATAACATACACCTAATGACGGTGAGAGTCTAAAGAAGGTAAGAAAATTAGCAATGGAGAAAAGAATCAGGTCTGAGAGATATTTGGTAGGTAGCATCAACCCAACTTGGTAATTGATTGGATATGGTGGTGAGGAAGGGGTCTGAGACTATGTCCAAATTTCTAGACAACTAACACATTGATGGTACCATCAGCAGAGAAAAGGGTAGGTTTGAATTGCCTGTGTGATGTTTAGGTACAGATGTTCAGAAGCTAATTTTAAAAAAGGTTAGAAAAAAATCAAAGTTTGGGAAAACAAACTGTACTCAAAAAGTTTGTAATGTTTATCTGAGGGACTCGGTAAATCAGTAGACACATCAGAATCTCTATATCATAGCCCATCTCTCTGAGGATGGTCTGCAGAGACTCCTTTACAAGATTTAACATAGTGAATGACATTCATGTAAACATGCATACACTGAAAAACAAGAAAATTTACACATTTTACTGAGCCCTTTTTATACACAAATATTGCTCTTTAATGAATTGGTTCATCTTTCTGATGAAATTTTTTAAAATTTTTTAAATTAAAAAAATTTAAATTTAAAAAAATTTTAAAAAGCACAATGGACAAGGAAGACGAGCAGAGGGAGGAAAAGGGAAAGAAGCATTCACACTTTATTTGGGACTGAATCTCAGCAGATAAGTCTGACAGGTCATGGTTATTAATGATATATAACACGACAGGCTACACAGGACAGAGTCCTACAGCATTTCATTGCAAAGCAAGTGAGAAAGGATGCAAACTTGAGCAGTCGTCTGTAAATCCCTCATCTTGGGATGATGGGCTATTACTGTAGCCATTCCCCTTGTACTCACCCCACCCCAAATCATTTAGCTGCTTTCATTGCCAGGCTACCAGTTAATCTCAGCAACATGCACGGAGAACATGTGTGTTCTCAATGACAGGCCTGATTCGAGGGCCTGGAGCCAAAAATGAATATGGGGAAGACCTCACAGCCTGGGAAGCTAATTTGATGGCTGTCCTCACTGACAAGAGGGGCACTGCTCCTGTGGTGTGGGGTCCCGGCCCTCAGCAGCCTGCCAGAGGAAAAGCAAGAGAAAGGAGCCCACACAGTGGCCTCAAAGTGTCCCTTCCCTTGGCTGGGGTGGAGGGGAGCAGCGGCGTCTAGGCATGTGCAGAAGAAGCTTCAGGTCAATGCACTAGCCGATGGCCGCGGAAGCTCAGGGAGGCTTGGGGTGTGGTGGGGAGCTCAGGAAGCGCCCACCCAGCACTTCTCCTGGCATACGCTTCTTAACGCGCCCTGGAGGACAGCAGGAGGTCTACTGAGAGCCGAGCTCTACCCTCCACATCTCTGAAATAATGGTAATTTGAGAACAACAAAACAATACCAGACATCTTAGGAAAACGGTTTCACAAACTCCTCATTGGGCAAAGTACCGAACAAGAATGGAGAATATATTAGCCTTGGTTGATGGGTCTTAATTTCTAAGTACATTTTAAGCACTGAAGATTTTTCATTTTAACAGAAAATATTTTATATACCCAATAAAATGATTCCATAGGAAATTAAAAATCAGTTGAGCAATAATACCAAAAATCATAAATAGGTATAGTTATTTGACTATGTCAAAATATGAAAGCAGACTGACCCCTTCTGGTAATTTGATAATCCTAAAAGAGAGGCAGGGTATATATTTGAAAAGGAGTGACATAATGAAGGTTTCTGCATACACATGGCTTTAGTCCTTATAGTCCAAGTTTCCTTCTACAAGTTGGCCATCTTGCAACATCACAGATAAAAAGGAAAAGGAAAGTTACATAAGAGAATGAAATGCAAACATTGGTGAAAAGACAGTGAAAATTCTAACCACTGCTCAAGCAGGCTAATAATGAATGAACTGTCCACAAAATACATCTGTTTGCAAGCCACATTTTTTTCCTCAGCAAAATAATGAATTGCAAGAATTAAATTCCGAAGTGCACACAAGTCACCTGGTATCTCAACAGGTTCATCTGATGGGATAGGGAAAAATACCCATTAACTTCCAACATTCATCTGGAATTCTCATTTAGAGAGAATTATAGGTTTAAGTTTACACACACACACACACACACACACACACACACACACACTGTATATATACTGTATTTTAATGTGCATCATGATAACTAGCACTATAACTAAACTTTTGTCAACACACATCATTAATTATTACCTGCCATGGAAAAAATGAATCAGGTGATGATGCTGAAAGCACAAGTTGCAATATTTGATGTAGAAATGTCAAATAAAAGTAATTTCAATTTCACAAGTCAAACACACACCTTTGAAGTCTTGTAACCTTTCTATGTTATTCCCATTTGTTACTTGCAGAAAGGGATTAAAACAGGTCTCCCATATCACCCAACAATATTGAGGAGAAAAGAAAGGAAAATAAGATAAAATAGTTAAACATTTACGGTTAGATTAAGTACGCTGAGATAATGATAAAACTTTCATATGCTGTATTTGAACTGCTCCTTAGGTGAACATGGCTGACATTCCTCACACTGTCTCCCTAGGAGACACTGGCTCCTATTTCCTGAGGTTGCTGGGGGGATGAAATAAGATGATATTTGAGAAAGAGCTTTGGAAATGACCTAATGAGTAACAGAAGTAAAGGCTATATTTAGAATTAGAGAAATTATTAGGAAGGAAATAATGTAATTAGGCAGAAAAAAATAGGATTTTTCTACTTACTAATAACATGTCATGTGCACAAGGACAACAGAATTAAATTATGTGGATTTATTATTTTTTTAAGTTTATCTTCACTGTTGTTATAATGCTGTAATATATGCAAGTTAAAGGTCATACGAGTGGAATAAATGGGAGGATCTCAATGTAGGGGGTTAGTACTTAACTCTCTGAAAAATAAAAGAGATTCACATCTGTACTATCTGCCTAAGATGTCCCATATCTTCCTCTTGAAACAAAGGGTTTTCATGCAAGAAGGAAAAAAAGGTCTTTGGAATCAGAAAGGCCTATCACTCACCAGCTATGTCACTTTGGGAAAACTGGGTATATTTCAAATCTTTGGGGTTTTTTGCCTATAAAAATGTGCAACGTTGTTGTGAGGACCAAACGTGAAGCATCGGTGCTCGGTGGATGGGAGTTTTCTCTCCCTCCCCCTCGCAGAGCCTTTCCTGAAACCCTAGCAAATCAGGGCAAGAATGCACAGATCACTCATCATTTCTCCAGCGTTTATTGCCCAGGAAGTTCATGCAGCAATTAATTATGTATGACTTCATGATATGTTAGCTACTGTTACTGAAATCCTAAATGACTGACCAACTTCTCATGCATTTCTGCAACCAGAGAGCATTGCTTCAAATCAAGACCCTTCCCAGCGTCATCTCCCAGGGCCCCAGTAGTGAACCCTGTGTGTGGTTGTTGAGTTACTCTGCCGCCCAGGGGTAGTGAGGTGGGCAAGGAGGGTCGGTGACAGGAAGTAGGATATGAGAGCTGCAGCTGCCCTCTTAGGAGCCTCTCAGCCTGTGTCCTGGAGAAATTCTACCACCACAGGCCACATTTCCCACCCCCCTCCCTTCCAATTTGCCTGTCACTGGGCTCCAGTCGGTGGGGTACTGCAGGGAGAAGGAATGTGCAGGGCATACTAGCAGGATGCAAGCTCACATACCTGGATGAGATAGTGGGAACATAAATTGAGAAGCTCCAACAGCTGTAGGTGACTGCCAGCTGCTAACACATCCTGGATCACGCCTGGCTCCAACAAAATCTGTTTTTTTTTAATAAAAGAAAGCTATCAGTTACTTACAAATTAATACTTGCTTACTATGCAAATACACTGCATTTAAATTGCTGCTTAACATACTATACCTGAATTAATACTGTTCCTTATTATGGAAGCCAGTTCTCTTTTTTCTATTCTGATTAATGAGCTGTGGCCCTTATTCTAACAGCTAAGTTCTCATTCCCAATACTCATATCTGGTGTATAAAACTCCATACTTAACCACTTATTTTTGTAGGAGGATATGAACGTTTGCAAAGAACAATATAATAGCCTTCAAATTCAGTTTATGATGAAGATAATCTTATAAACACAAAAGAACTGAATTTTAGTTTTTCAAAGTATACTTCAGAATGTTATTCTTCAGTAAATCACAGAAACAGTATGGTTAACAGGTATTTTAGAGAAATGGGGCTTATAGTTCTCCTTGAAATACAGGACCAGAGGTGGATATTACTCCATTTTACTTCTAAGTCCTACAATAGTAAACTTCAACCACAAAGTTTCATTTTTTTTCCTTCACAATCTCAGATTCTCTGATCCTTTATGTTTCAAATAAAATATGTAGAAATAGTATTTTCAGAATATAAAGGCATCACAGAGAAGCAAAACTTCCCCAGTACACTGGTGATACCAATTCTTTTTTTCTGGTTAGGTCCAACTTTGTGCCTACTGCTGCCTGCTCTTGAGCTGGTGAATAGCGCTGGAGAAAAACACACAACTAAGTTGACGAAATTCACTTTACATGCAAGACTGCCAGACACAGGAGGCCTTTAGGGCTGCTCCAGCCATCCTAACTCATTTCCCGAGCCCAGTGACGCCCAAGGTCTAGTCTCTGGACCAGCATCAGCATCATCACCTGGGAGCTCGTGAAAACTGCAAATTCCTGGGCACCTCCCCAGACCTAACTGAATCAGAAACTTTCAGGTGAAGCCCAGCAACTGCTGTTTTTGATGCAGGGAAGCCAGTGCTTCTGATGCAGGGAAGCCTGAAAAATACTGATGGAGTCAGCTCGCTCTCACCCTCTATTTCTTCTCCCATGCTCCTCTCTCCTCAAGCCTCCAACCTCCTTGTCTCTTTTCCTTTTTTTTTTTTCTTTTTTGCGGTACGCGGGCCTCTCACCGCTGTGGCCTCTCCCGTTATGGAGCACAGGCTCCGGACGCGCAGGCTCAGCCGCCATGGCTCACGGGCCCAGCCGCTCCACGGCATGTGGGATCTTCCCGGACCGGGGCACGAACCTGCGTCCCCTGCATCGGCAGGTGGACTCTCAGCCACTTGCGCCACCAGGGAAGCCCTCGTCTCTTTGCTTACTTCAACTTCATGATCTTCCCAAGGCTCCCACCACCAAGTCTACCAACCCACCTACTCATATCTGTACCAGCTCATTTTCCTCTCCTCAACACTCCCCTTGTGCACTAGATCCCACCCCCCTCTGCCTGATACCATCCTCTCTTGTTCCTGCGTCATCATCTGTTCGCTTCTACTGGATGATAACTCCCATCAGCATACAAATATGCCATTACAGCTCGTATCTTAAGAAAGAAAAATTCCCTCCCTTGAACCCACAGATCCGTCCATGCTCCCCTTCATAACAAAGTTCCTCAGGGAAGCTGTCTATATAAAATGCTGCTGTTTGCTCTGCACTGCTCTGTCTCAAACCCACTCCTGTTGAGTTCTGTTTCTACTGTTCCTCTAAAAATGCTCTCATCGAGGTCACCAGTGACCCCTAAAACCAATAGCCATTTCTCAATCTTACTCAAGCCAACAGCAGTTAGCAAAACTGACTTTCCTCTTCTGGAGTGATTTCTTCCCTTCCCTCTAGGACGACGCTCCCTCTCTTGGTTTCTTCTACTTCAATAACGAGTCCCTTTCCATCTCCTTCCCAACCTGTAAGCTTTGGAGATGCCCAGAGCTCAGTCCCCAGATCTCTGCTTTCCTCTCTCTACTTACTCCGTGGATGATATCATGGCTTTAAAATTATCTACACACTGATTACACTTAAATTGGTTTCTCCAGCCCCAAACTCACCCTTGAACTCTAGACTCTGATATTCAGTGGCCTATTCTGTATCACCACTTGGATGTCTAATGGGCAGCTCAAACTCAGCGTGCCCCAAACTGATCTCTTCATCCTCTCCACCAATCACCAAACCTGCTCCTACCCCAATCTCACCATTTCAGCAAACAGCAACTCTCAGTTATTTACACTAAAACCCGAGTCATTCTTTATTCCTCTTCTTTTCCTCATACCTCACATCTGATCCATCAGCCACTCGTTAGCTCTATCTTCAAAATAGTTCCAGAATCCAATCACACTCAGTAGCACTTCCATCTGTATCACTCTAGTCCAAATCACTGTCTTCCCAGATTTACTGCAATAGCCACCTAACTAGTTGAACTGCTTTCTCCTTTGCCTCCTCGCACTGTTTTTTAATAATATGAATCAAACGGGTGCTTTAAAAACACAAATGAAATTATGTCATTCTGTTATTCAGAACTCTCCGACTTCTTATCTCATTGGGGAAAAAAAAAAAAAACCCGAAGTCTTCACTATACCATATAAGGTTCTTTGAATACGCTGAGCACCTCAGTGTTTACAACTAGCTGTTTTCTCTGCCTGGATCACTCTTCCTCAAGACGTCAGAGAGGCTCACTCTCTCATGTCCTTCAGACCTCTGCCCAGATATCACCTTATCTGAGAGGGCTTCTCTGACCATCCTATGTAAAACAGTACCCCACTGTCCACCACCCCATTCCCAATCTCCTTACTTTGCTTTATTCTTCTTCACAGCACTTAACATCTCTCAACATAGTACATATTTATTTGTCTATTTGATGATTTTCTGTTCCTCCACTCACTAGGATATAAGATCCAGGAGAGTAGGGACTTGGTCCATTTTGTATACCCAGCACTTAGAACAATGCCAAACAAAAAGCTTTCACTTAATATTGATGAATTTACCTTATAATAATGTATTGATGAATTAATTTATATCTAGAATTTTAAAAAATTATTTATTTTTATTTATGGTCTCACCGGGCGCAGCATGCAGGATCTTAGTTCCCCAACCAGGGATCAAACCTGTACCCCCTTCATTGGAAGCTCAGAGTCTTAACCACTGGACTGCCAGGGAAGTCCTCTAGATATGTTTTTAAATTCAGAATTAATTTTATTAATTAGCCTAACATGAGAGGAGAGAGGGAAAAGGACGATACATTTTATTTCTGAACTATTAAAGAAGTGAAAAAGCTAAGCACGTGTGGCAAAAATACCAACACTCATCTTATTCTGAAAATTCTTTATAGCTCCTTTCCTGTCTAGTCAGAGGGAGAAATCTGAATTTCTCCAACTCCTCACGGAGAGAGGTTTTGACTGACACTCAGGAAATTATTGCAGCTCCCTTTACAGGAGCAAGGATGCAGTGTGTTCTTACAGAAGAGGCATGGCCTAAGGCACAGAATGGGGAATAGATGGATTAGAAAGGCTAGTCTTAGCCTTTATATCCTGTCAGTTGTGCTTATTTCACACAACTGGCATTCATGATAACCTCTAAGGCTCAGTAATGCCTAGCACAAAGACAAATATCACAGAGAGACAAGATGAATATTCCATAGCACGTGTAACACGTCCAGCGGGCCAACTGGAGAAACCTCACAAGAGAAACCCCTAGTGGGATTGTTTTTGTCTTTGTTTCTTGTTTTTCGTTCTGTAGTTTTTTTTTCATCTCTCATTATAACATAAGTTTTTCTAAAAGATAAAGGGAGTGGTTTGAAAAAAAAAAAAAAAACCTACCAGAAAAGCTGGGTCTCACTTATAGAAACAGAACCAGCATTTCCAAGTTCCACTTACACTAGTCTTTTAAATTCAGCTTTGTTGCTCTTTGGTGACTGGTTGTCCTCATATATTTTTCCAGAGAATGTGTGTTTGGGCAGAATAACAAAGGTCCAATCTCCTCACGAGGTATAGTATGGTGAATCTATCTGCTGCCTAGAAGAACTGGGTGAAATGGCCTTTTGTAGAAGGAATGGCTTTCCCCCACGTCAGTTTATGGATGACAACTAAGATCACTAAATTTAAGTGCTGCAGAAACGCATACCCATCCACGTCCAGTCTGGCACTTACAGCAGAAGAGACGGGAGGAAGGATCCTTCCAGGACCACCCACAGGAGGGAAGGGTATCCTCTGACGGTCAGAGCACAGAGGGGTGGAGGAGGAGGTTGACACATCTAGTCACTCATCAGACTGGAGGAGCTTAGCTCAGACAAGCCATCAACAGTGGACAAGGCAAATGTCTGAATAACAAAAGAGATCAAGAAATGCAGGATGCATAAAGCCAAGTGGTCCAGAAAGCAGTGGGGAAGACGAAAACCACTAAAGCCACCTAACTGGGCTGGGCATTGCCTCTCTCCTCAGCGATGCTCCCCTGCCTGGGTGGAGACAGAGGGGGGTGTCTTCAGATTGGACAAAGAGGTTCTGATACAATTTCGGGTGGGGCACGGGCGCCTCTTGTTCATAGGCCATCTGTATACAGTATGCTCTCACTGCCACCCACTCACACCTGACCTCCGGGTAACAGAATACAGGGGGCTGAACTTGAAAGAGGGGAGCTGGACAGTACTAGCTGGGGAGGTAACAATCTCATTACATAAGCTTTTCCTGCAGCTGGTGGCATGCTAGGCCAGGTGAACCGAGGAAAGGTCCACAGCGGACCCCTGCCCCAAATGCTCAGACTTTGCACTCATTTTGATCAACTGAGGATAAGAACTGGTCCGTGGCTGTAGTCAGGGTGACACTGGGTGTGGTGACAAAGTAACAGAGGTAAAAGCCACAACTGTAGTTGAAGATGGTGGTCTCCAAAGACACCAGTGAGAGGTGCTGCATCAGAATTCAGGCATGAAGGGGTCCACTTGCCCTGCCGCAAGGAGGCACTCTTGAAAACTCAGTCCAAAGGTGTCATCTGGCCACCGATCCAAGCAGGGTCGAATCTGCACAATCTCTAATGAAGGCCTTCCAAACTGGAATGAGACTGGGGCTCCTGGTCCCAGCGACAACCTCAGGCAGCACACGAGGCCAGACACTCATGAAAGAGGAGTGTAGGAGGTGAGGTGAGATTCTGCACAGCCTAGGATGAGATGGGTCCTCTCTGCCAGTGCCCAGGCCTCACCGGGCTTGCACTAAGGCAGCATACAGACCCCAGGGCATTCCTGCCTTTCCTTATTCAGCTCCTTCTCCCATATCACCAAGCGTCCGTGCATCCTTTTAATTCTGCCTCCTTGTTGCTTTTCTTCTCTTTATTTTCCCTCTCACTTTTACCTTGCTTCTTGGAGTAGCCGCTAGTAGGGCCTGCCTTTAATAGCCATGGCAAGTCTCAGTGTGACCTTTTTTCCTGCTTTATGAATAGGTGAGTTGGCATCTTGAAAAAATTTTTGTATCTCAGTTCTTCAAAGTTATCTTCCTCATTTCTTGCTTTAGGAGATGTTTAAATTACTTACTTCTGGGTTTGTGGATAGAGTAGCCTGAAGGAATCGAACATGTTAAAGCCAAACAAACAAGTATGCACACAGGAACACAAGCACTTTTGAAAGCTCTCATGTAAGTGCAAATTAGCTGTGGCCTAAGGCTATTTATAAGAATAAATGAGCACACTTGTTCTTCTTTATGCTTGTTTCTTTGGGATGTTTTTTTCTGTGTAACATAGAAAAAATGGCAAATTATCACAATTTTGAACTGATAAATCAAAACAAGTAAACTGAATACAACAGCATAAATAACTTTGTTTTTTAATTTTATTTTCTAATTTTATTATTTTTTTGGCTGCATTGGGTCTTCGTTGCTGCACGTGGGCTTTGCTCTGGTTGCGGTGGGCGGGGGCTACTCTTCATTGCAGTGCAAGGGCTTCTCACTGCAGTGGCTTCTCTTGTTGTGAAGCACGAGCTCTAGGCGCACGGGCTTCAGTAGTTGTGGCTCGCAGGCTCAGCAGTTGTGGCTCGTGAGCTCTAGAGCACAGGCTCAGTAGTTGTGGTGCACAGGCTTAGTTGCTCTGCAGCATGTGGGATCTTCCCGTACCAGGGCTCGAACCCGTGTCCCCTGCACTGGCAGGCGGATTCTTAACCACAGTGCCACCACGGAAGCCACAACAGCATAAATAACTTTTATTCAAGACACATAAAACCTTTTGTATAAAGTTCTTCAAGAGACTTCTTATAGACCGAATTTGAACCATAAGATCTAGCTATGAGAAATTGCCATCAATTTAGTTTTTTGCTTCAAAGCCACTACACTAAGGATTTTTTAACCACAAGGTGGCGCCTATGTTTAAAGTAAAAGGATTTTCTAAACTACTCATATACCGCATCTTTATAACAGACACTTTATTTTTAAGAAAAAATAATAATAATTCAAATAAGGATAATAAAGTATATGAATTCTACTTTCTAGATGTATTTATCATTTGGGGAAATGTTCATAAATATTTCTGTTGAAATGCTTGATCCGAGTGACACTGATCAGAATTCAGTAGTTCTCCATAAATCAGGTCCCAATTTATGAATATTAGAAGTTCAAACTTTTTGTCTTTGTATTCAGAAACTCTCATGATGTGGTCCCAACCTAGGTTATAAAACTTATTTCCAATTCTGCAACCTTATGTTTCCTTTGCTAAAGCCAACAGCCCATTGTTCTCCACATATAGGCAATACCTTTTTCTCTACCTTGAATGCCCTTCTCCCACTTCTTCAATCTCTATATGTCAAAATCCTACCCATTCCTCAAAATTCAACTGTAAGTCCATTTCCTATATAAAGTGTTGCAAGATTTTCTTTCACCCCAATATGCAATTGGGGTTAACCTCCTGGGACTCCAAACCACCAGAGATGTCTGATGAACTAAGCCCATGGGCTCTAGGTCACACCACCTGACTTCAAATCCTGGCTCCTATACTAGCTGGCAGAATGATATTGTGAAAACTACTCAATTATCAGTTGAGTAGTTTCCTCAATGATATGATTAAATTATAATATCTATCTCAAAAGATTGTTTTAAGGACTAGGAAAATGCATATGTATTATAACATTTGTGTATGGCTGTGTAAGAAAAATGGTTTAAACAATTTGGAACTTATTTTTCTCACGAAACATGAATTAGGTAGCTTGGAGTGCCAACAAACCAGGCTCCTTGCATTTTCCTACTTGGCCAATCTTAGCCTGTAGTTTCATGGTCACAAAAAGGCTGCCACACCTCCAGGTTCTGCATCTGCACTCAAAGCAGAAAGAAAAGAGAGGACAAAGAAACAGAAATAGTATACCAGCTGAGTCTGTCATTACTTATTAGAAAATAACAGGTTTCATATGAACACTACCACACAGACTTCCACTGACATTTCACCTGCCAGGTCTAGGTCATGAGGCTACTCAAAGCGGTAAAAGAACCTGGGAAATTGAGTTTTTAAAGCTAGATGCACACAGGTTAATAGCAAAAAAAAGAGAAAAGCTAGATGCACTATTGTCCCAAATTAAATTGGAGCTCTATATAAAGAAAAAAGAGGAAATGGATTGTACAGGCAATCAGAGTATACACCACCATGGCTCTTAGCACAGTATATGTTTATATAAATCTGTAATAAATGTTAACTGTTATCTATTTCTTTTTCATGTGACTAAGTGCTTTTGCCCTGAATGAGTTATGTGAGAGTGTTTTATCTTATGTTTTACCTATGAGACTTTGATGGCAGGGTCCATCTTCTTTCATGTTCATTGCTGTTGAACATTCTAGAAGAATACCTCAGGAATTACTTAGTAAAGAAATTTACAGGATTGAAAAATACAGGTCCTGGAGAAAATGTTAGAAGATGTCAAAAGTCTCCATGGGGAAGCCTGGTCACATGCTAATCCTCATCAAGGATTACCCAGCTGAAAGAGTTAAATAAGAGGACACAATAGACATTTCAACTAACAGCTGTAGTCATATGTCCAAAAAAAGGTCACCTTTTGGTTAGATGTTGTATATAATAAATTCATGATTTGACTATTCATTCCTTAAGTTACAAATTTTATCAGGTGGTTTTCTTCCAAACATAGTACACTTGTACAAATTTCTAAAAGATCTCAAGTCAAACATTTAAAAATACTAATTTATTTTCAAATTATGAAAAAGCAATCAACTTTTCCCTCTATTAGAATATGAAAAAAGAGAAAACTAGTCTTGACTTTCAGAATATTTTGAAAAAAATGTTAAAAACCACAAAGGTAGGGCTTCCCTGGTGGCGCAGTGGCTGAGAGTCCGCCTGCCGATGCAGGGGACACGGGTTCGTGCCCCGGTCTGGGAGGATCCCACATGCCGCGGAGCGGCTAGGCCCGTGAGCCATGGCCGCTGAGCCTGCGCGTCCAGAGCCTGTGCTCCGCAACGGGAGAGGCCACAACAGTGAGAGGCCCACATTACGCAAAAAATTAAAAACTAAAAAAAATTTTAAAAACCACAAAGGTAAAACCATAATAAAAACATACTAGCAAAAAAAATAAAGGTGTGGAAATCACTTGGAGATTCTATTATCTTCCTTCACAAGTTTACACATCCTCATTCGGGTCATTTGAAATTTCTAAGGTTACAGGCAGGTAGCAGAAGCACAGGCTCTAAGATGCCAAGAAGAAACCTTAAATAGATAAGGACACTAGTATTACACTACTAGGAATGTAATTATATTTGCATTACATGCTGTCCTGCAAAAATTTTATTTATTACCATTAATGCAACCTGAAGGTCTGTAGATGTTGCTACTCATTCTTCCTTTCCCATTTTGGGGCATGTGGAAGGGTGATGGATTAAATACTTGAGCTAGGTCTCAAGTAGAGAGAGAAGGAATCAGATGGAATTATTAAGCTGTGGTATAATTCATACTAAGATAGGGGTGGGCACAAGTTGCTCTAGGAACACTTGGCTGGAGATGCCCTATTCCATTGAAACTGTGAAATAATTCTTCGTATGAAAAAACTTAGTCCCCTCATATGAGCAAGCCCCATTTTCTTTTAGCCCCTTCTGCATTAGCATAATTCTGGCATTTCAAAGCTCTGAGATCAATAGTTCTGTCAGACAGTCATTTCCAGCATAGTTTTCTTCAGCGTTTAAATTAACAAAATATTTAACAAAGTGTAAAGATGAATTATATATACTTAACATTACTTTAAAAATTTGGCCTAATTATTTGAAAAGGCAGAACAAGTTTTTGATAGTTTCTAACTAGAAAAAAGCAGTCCCAGCAATTAAATATGATGAAACATGAAGGTCATTACAGGTTATAAGAAAAGTCAAATTAATTATTAAGACTCACTTTTATCACCAGTGCTCTTTCAAGTGTGAACATGGGAGGTTTCATCGCATTAAGCTTTACTAATGAATCTGGGTGTCTCCATACAGAGCTAGTTTCTTACAATGCTAGCATGGCCAAAGAAGAAATAAACATTACTTTAAAATACTGATATCCGGGGCTTCCCTGGTGGCGCAGTGGTTAAGAATCCGCCTGCCAATGCAGGGAACACAGGTTCGAGCCCTGGTCCAGGAAGATCCCACATGCCGCAGAGTAACTAAGTCCGTGTGCCACAACTACTAAGCCTGCGCTCTAGAGCCCGCAAGCCACAACCGCTGAGCCCGTGAGCTACAACTACTGAAGCCCATGCGCCTAGAGCCCATACTCTACAACAAGAGAAGCCACAACAATGAGAAGCCTGCGCACCGCATTGAAGAGTAGCCCCTGCTCACTGCAACTAAAGAAAGCCCTCGCAGCAATGAAGACCCAACACAGCCAAAAATAAATAAATAAAAATTAAAATAAAATACTGATATCCAAAGATGGATGGCCTCCAGAAGAATGAATAGGGCTGGTGCCAATGTTCATTTGTAGTTGGCTACTACTGTGTCACTGCTGGGTGCTTGAGTAGAGGCAGAAGCAAAGAGCCAAAAGGAATCATTATGCTGTGGTGTAATCCATGCTAAGATAGCGTGGACACAGGATACTGTAGGAGCACTTGGCTAGGGATGCCTCATTTCATTGAAGGAAGCTGTAGAATAATCTTTTTCATGAAAAAATACATCATTAATATCCAATTCCAGGTTCATTTGGAGAATTCCTTGCATTTGCTTTATAAGGAGTGGAGGTAAAAGTATGGCTCTAGGGGCCACTGTAGGAATGTGGGCAAGTCACTGACACATATGTTTTTAGCATCATCGTATAAAAAAATGAGAGATGACTACTATCTATTTTCTTAAAGTCTTCATAAAGATAAAATGAGATAATCCTGGTAAAATTTTTAGAATAATGCCTGGCATGTTTCACACGGTAAAAAATTGTAGCTGCTATTGTTATTATTGTTGTTGTTAATTCCATGAAAAAATAAACCTACTTCGCAAATAATGACCCCATTTCTAGTGTTCACACATTGCCTACTATGTACCAGGTACCATGTGAGGTAATGTCATACATGTTATCTCTCCTTCTTATACTCTTCCCCACTCCTCACTCCTGCAAGGTAAATATTAACCCCACATGGAAAATGAAGAAACTGAAGGCAGAGAAATTCACCCATTCAAACAGCAAATCTTTTCTCAGTGCTACAGTGCTCTAGGCACCTTTCTAGGCACTACGGATATGACCATGAAGAAGACAAGTTTCCTCATCTTATGGCACTTAGAGTCTAGGTTTTGGCCAACTGGG